AGGCTGAGAGGGGACCTGGTGGCTGTTTACAAACTCACCAGGGGGGATCAGTGAGAATTGGGGGAGGCTCTGTTCCCCCAGAAACCACTGGGGGTTACTAGGAATAACAGCCACAAATTGTTAGAGACAAAGTTCAGGCTGGACATCAGGAGACATTACTTCACGGTTAGGGCTGCCAGGCTCTGCAGTGGACTCCCCAAGGGAGGTGCTGCTCTCTCCTACCTTGGGGGTCTTCAAGAGGAGGCTGGACAGGTATTTGGCCTGGGTGATATGACTGTGGCACCCAGTCCTGCCTGGGGCAGGGGTTGGACCTGATGATCTAGGTCCCTTCCAACCCTAAGTACTATGAAACTAAGGTCTGGGTGACTTCTCATGCATACACCATGATCTGGAAGGATCAATGGTTGCCAAACATAATAGTGACCATGATACAGATGCTGATCTCACAACAGAGCACTATGGGGACACAGGGGTTGACAAGGGCTAAGGAGCATCACTATTCTCTGTGACTCGATCTCTGTGACTTGTCACAAACCTACCACAGACATGCAGAATGCCACAGACTGAAATACCAAAGAGCCTCCAACTGCCAGCTGTGTGTCAGTGGGAGAAGGGGTGCCTTGCTTAGCAGGAGGGCATGGACATTGTTGTCGTTAGACAATGTCCCACAACAGTGGCATTACTGGTAGATATTTGGAATGAGCTTCCAAGGGAGGTGGTGCTCTCCTCTACTTTGGGAGTCTTTAAGAGAAGGCTACACAGGCACCTGACTTGGGCTGTCTGATCTCAGCGCTCTTTCCTGCCCAGGGCAGGGGGTCAGACTTGATGATCTGCTAAGCAAACTTCCCACCCAAACATCTATGAATCTATGGTGTCAAAAAGTGGTTTGGGTAGCACTTTAAAAAAAAAAAAAAAAAGTGCATTTTGTTCACCAACCTGAAAATGTCCTGCAGGATGTGTGAAGTAGCAGACTTTTGAGTCCAGTACCTGCTTCAGTGGGACCCCCCCAGGATACAAGAGCAACAAGAAGCTGTCTCAAAGGCCCTGGAGTTTGGGCGGACTGGGCTGCTTTCTGGTGGGAAAGCAGGGAAGTCTGTAAACAGCAACCACAGCAAGGAGCTCAGGGCAAGGGGAATGCACTGCGTGAAGCATGTGATGCACTGGGTGCTGGCAGCCTGGGAGTTCTGCAGGAAGGGGTATAGCCAGAAACCTGTCTGGTATATTTTGTGGATAAATCCCCTAATCATCATGGGGCTGTGGGTGGAGGCTGGTTTTTGCTGTAGCGGGCACATCTACACAGTACTTCAACTGCACAGTAGCCTAATTTTACTTTGCGTGTAGGGCACAAACCATGCCAATACACTAATATGCAGTAGTGTTAAGCTACTGTGCAGTTAGCATCACTAAAAAGCCGTGCATCAGCACTACTGCACAGTAGCACCAGTTACTATGCATTGATTTACTACTTGGTCATACAAGGACTAAACTTAATGTGCAGTAACTATGCACATTAATGAACATGTGGATGTGCCCACTGAAGCCTGCTCTGAGCTTTTGCCGGAGTTCCTGTGGCTCAGACACACAAGCAGGCTGTTGTACCCAGTGTCTTAACAGCTGAATGTGAGGCAGGAACATAGAAGCCCA